ACATATAGATGGGTCTTGCTTTTTTATCCATTCTGTCACCCTGTGTCTTTTTTTTTATTTTTTTTTATTTTTTTATTTTTATTTTTTTTTATTTTTTTTTTAAATTTTTTTATTTATTTATGATAGTCACACAGGGAGAGAGAGAGAGAGGCAGAGACATAGGCATAGGCAGAGGGAGAAGCAGGCTCCATGCACTGGGAGCTCGACGTGGGATTCGATCCCAGGTCTCCAGGATCGCGCGCCTGGGCCAAAGGCAGGCGCCAAACCGCTGCACCACCCAGGGATCCCCTGTGTCTTTTTTTTTAAAGATTTTATTTAAAAATCTTAATTATTGATAGGTTTGTAGTTATCATTTGGTACTTGTTTTATGGTTGTTTTTATAGTTCTTTTCTGTTTCTTCTCTTGCTCTCTTTTCTCATGGTATATTGGCTTTCTTTAGTGATATACTTGGATTCTTTTCTCTTTATTTATTTTATATTAGTGATTTTGATTTGTGGTTACCATTAAGTTTGAATATAGCATCTTATGCATATGGCAGTTTGTATTAAGTTGATAGCTGCTAAAGTTTGAACCCATTCTATACTCCTCTTCCTGTCCCATCCACACATTTTAGGTATATGGTGTCATACTTTACATCCTTTTATTTTGTGAGTCCCTTGACTGATTTTTATAGATACTTATTTTTAGGGAATCCCCGGGTGGCGTAGCGGTTTGGTGCCTGCCTTTGGCCCAGGGCGCGATCCTGGAGACCTGGGATCGAATCCCACATCGGGCTTCCAGTGCATGGAGCCTGCTTCTCCCTCTGCCTGTGTCTCCGCCTCTCTCTCTCTCTCTCTCTCTCTCTCTGTGACTATCATAAATTAATAAAAAATAAAAAAAATTTAAAAAAAGATACTTATTTTTACTATTTTTGTGCTTCCTACTTTTTTAGTCCTATTTAGGTCTTATCTTTTGACTCACAGTATCTCCTTTAATATTTCTTGTAGGACTAGTTTAATGGTCATGAATTCCTTTAACTTTTGTTTGGAAAACTCTGTTATCTTCCTTTTCTGAATGATAACTTTGCTGGATAGAGCATTCTTGTCTGCAGGTTTGTTTGTTTTTTTGTTTTTTTTTTTTCTGTCAGCACTTTGACTATATCATGCCACTCTCTTCTGGACTGCCAAGTTTCTGCTGAAAAATCAGCTGATAGCCTTATGGGTTTCCCTTGTATGTAACTGTTTTCTTTTCTCTTGCTGCTTTAAAATTCTCTATCACTACTTTTTTTTTTTTCTTAACCATTTTAATTACTGTGTGTCTTGGTGTGGACCTCATTGGGTTGATTTTGTTGGTGGCTCTCAGTATTTCCTGGATCTGAATTTCTGTTCCTATCTCTAGATTCAGGGAATTTTCATCTATTATTTCTTCGAATAAATATTCTGCCCCCCTTTCTCTCTCTTCTCCATTTGAGGTCTCTATAATGTAATTGTTACTACTCTTGATGGTGTTGCTGAGTTCCCTAAGTCTCTTTCCATTTTCCATTATTCTTTTTTCTCCTGTTCAGTTTGATTGATTTCCATTACACTGTCCTCTGAATCACTGGTATGTTCTTTTGCTTCCTCTACTCTGTCTAGTTAATTTTCCCCTCAACACTGCTTTTTGTTGCATCCTGTGAATTTTGGTATGATGTGTTTTGTTTTCATTTATGTCTAATTTACCTTTTGATGTTTTCTTTGATCTGTTGCTTAAGATGTGTTGTTTAATTTCCTTTAATTTGTAAATTTTCCTTTTTTTCCCTTTCTGTTGATTTCTATCTTTATCCTGTGTAGTCAGAGATAATACTTTGTACAGTCTTTTTTTTTTTAAGAGGGAGTGAGCACACACGAGTAGTGGGGGAGGGACAGACAGAGAGGGAGAGAATTTTAAGCAGGCTCAGTTCCCAGCATAGACCCAACCCAGGGCTTGATCTCTCACAACCCTGAGATCATGACCTAACCCAAAATTAAGAGTCAGACACTTAACTGAGCCACCTAGGTTCCCTGATCTTTATCTTTTAAGATCTACTGGGATGTAATTTGTGGGTTAACACAGTCTTTCCTGTTCTATGTCCCCTGTGCACTTGAAAAGTATACATATGCTCTTGTTGGGTAGACTATTTTGACTACATCTGTTAGATCTTTGCTTTAAGTATTTTGTTTTCTTATCTTCTATCTGGTTGTTCTATCCATTATGAAAAGCAGGATATTGAAGTTTCCAATTATCATTATAAAACTTTCACCCTTCAATTATGTTTTTGTTTCATATAATTTGATGATCTGTTATTATATGTATAACTATAGTTTTTATATTGTCTTGCAGTATTGAACCTTTAATAGTATATAATGTCCCTTTTGGTCTCTTATTAGAAACCTTTTTTGATTTGAAGACTATTGTATTTGATACTGGTATTACCCTCTCTGCTCTCTTTTGGATACTATTTGCATTGAATATCTTTCACTTTCAATCTGTTTTTATCTTTCGATCTAAAGTGAGTCTCTTTTAGACAGCTTATAGTTGGGTCATAGTTTTTTTTGGTTTGTTTTTTTTTGGATTTTATTAATTCATTCACAAGAGACATAGGCAGAAGGAGAAAGGCTCCTTGAGGGGACCCTGATGTGGCCTTGATCCTGGGACTCTGGGGTCGTGCCCTGAGCCAAAGGCAGATGCTCAACTGCTGAGTCACACAGGCGTCCCTTGGTGTGGGTTTCTTTGACTTCATCTTTGTTCAATTCTCTGAGCTTCTGGGATGTTTATATTCATGTCTTTTATGAAATTTGGTTGTGTTATTTCTTTTTTATCTTAGCCATTCTAATGAGTCTGTGATGGTGTGTCATTATTAACTTGCAATTCTTCAATGACATATGATGTTGAACATCTTTCATATGCTTATTTGCTATCTGTATATCTTCCTATTCAGATCATTTGTCCAACAAATTGGCCACTACTTAGAGCTTTTGTCTTTTCTTTCCACTTAAGTTTTAACCTCTTCTCTCACAGTGGCTGCTCCTGTGGTACCCTTTTACAGATTCAACCCGACACTTCCAAGTGGTATTGCTAGCTTCCAGCTTTGTGCCCTTATTGTACTCTGTTTGTTTATCTTAGCTTCTCCCTTTTTTAAAAAAAAAATAATTTATTTATTCATGAGAGACACAGAGACAGAGAGAGGTAGAGACACAGGGAGAGAGAGAAGCAGACTCCATGCAGGGAGCCCAATGTGGGACTCAATCCTGGGACTCCAGGATCATGCCCAGGGTCGAAGGCCCTGGGTCAACACCAAACTGCTGAGCCACCCAGGGATCCCCCTATCTTAGCTTCTTTGTTTTTGTTTTTAAATTTTTTTTTAATTTTTTTATTTATTTATGATAGTCACACACAGAGAGAGAGAGGCAGAGACACAGGGAGAGGGAGAAGCAGGCTCCATGCACCAGGAGCCTGACGTGGGATTTGATACTGGGTCTCCAGGATCGCGCCCTGGGCCAAAGGCAGGCGCCAAACTGCTGCGCCACCCAGGGATCCCTAGCTTCTTTAATCTCCTGCTACATTTGCATCTTTTAAACTTTGCTTTCTTCTGCAGTGCTAAATGCTTCTCTCAGGCAGGAGTGTATTTCATCCTGGTTTATTATCACCTGCACTTTTTGAATACCTGACACCTGGAGCTAAGGCAGTGTTGTAGAAGGAGGATGACTAACCATTCCTTTTTGCCTGTAGCTGTCCTGCCTTAATACTGAAGGTCCCATGTGTAGGGAAATCCCCTAGTCTTGGGTACATTGGAACAGTTGGTTACCCTGTGCAGATGTTTCCTCGGATAGCTTAAACATTCAAAGATGTATCTTTAATGAGTAGCATTGCTGTTTCCGTCTTTGTGCCCTTGTTGTATTCTTTTGTCTTAGCTTCTTTGACTTCCAGTTGCATGTTGCGTGTTCTGTGACAACACGATCAGGGTCCTGAGGATAAGGGGATGAGGGAAATAAAATAAAAGTAAAGAGATGGGGACAGGAGGGACACAGTGGATGATGTCCAAGCAGTGCCAGCTTTATTCAAGGTTTTACAACATTTTATAGCATGAGCAAAACAAAGCTAAGAAGGTATCTATTTTTAGCATGTTTGTGAAACCCTCCAAAGTTCCCCTTTCTCAGCATGCAAGACAGACTCACGGGTGCCAGAAGACCTTGGTAAATAGATAAGCTTGTTGCTCCAGATGTGCATACTTCAAAGGAATATTAGATATGGTAAACAGATCAGCAAGGACAGCACAGACCCTTATTTACATTTATGACCACGCCAGAGTCAATCTTACAATCAATAAGTTGTATCTATTGTGTTATGTGGGCAATCACGTACAAGCGAGCCCTGAGAACCATTGCTCAAGCCCTTTCTCAAGCGTCAACCAACTATTCACCCTTTAGGCTCCCGAGCCTTTTGAGTGAATGAGGGACGCAAGTCCAGGCCTGGTTTGCTTCAGTCACTCCAGCTAGTTCATGGTCGCCCACAGTTGCATTCACACATGTTTAACTTTGTATTCCTTTGCAGTGGTGAGCACTTCTTGTGGACAGGATTGTGTTTCATTCAAGTTCTTTTTTCAAGGATGTATTTTATTTATTTGAGAGAGAGAGAAAGAGAAGAAGAGCAAGAATATTCAAACAGACTCTCCACTGAGCCCAGAGCCAGACACAGGGCTTGATCTCAAAACTCCAAGATGATGACCTGTGCCAAAATCAAGACTTGGACACTTACTTGACTGGGCCACCCAGATGTCCCTTCATTCAAGTTTATATCACCTGTACCTCACTGAGTATCTGGCACCTGATATTCTCCTATGTTGAGTGAAAGGCTGACTGATGTAATACACATTGATGGGATGTTTTCAATATATTTTTGCTTTTCTCACAAGTAGAATATAAACAGTGGACATCCTAGGCATCTTGTTATGTACCAGAAACTCACTAAAGACTTTGAGATTGAATAAGAATATGCTCTTTCAGGGACCGTTGTCATTCGTGGATGTGTTTGTGGACTTCACCTGGGAAGAATGGCGGCTACTGGACCCAGCTCAGAAGCACCTATACAGGAGTGTGATGTTGGAGAACTATAGCCACCTGGTGTCCCTGGGTAGGAGCTCCCTCCAATAAATGGGGTGTGTGTAATCTCCAGGCTTCCCCTTCTTGGTTGCTGAAAGCTGGCTTTTGCAAAGTTCTTAGTGATCTTGGATTTTATTTATTTATTTATTTATTTATTTATTTATTTATTTATTTATTTATTTTTATTTTTTAAAGATTTTATTTATTTATTCATAGAGACAGAGAGAGAGAGAGGCAGAGACACAGACAGAGGGAGAAGCAGGCACCATACAGAGAGCCCGACGTGGGACTCGATCCCGGGTCTCCAGGATCACGCCCTGGGCTGCAGGCGGCGCTAAACCGCTGCGCCACCGGGGCTGCCCTGGACTTATATTTAAAAGCCAGATTTTCTTAGTCTCCCTTTGGCATTAGAATATGCTAGTTTGAAAGGTCTTCACTTTGCCATGGGGCAGAAGGACAACTTTATCATGCTGCCTCTAAACTGACTCTTTCCCCTTCTTCAGGGTTTGAGGCAGTTTTGGTCCAGGTTGTCTGTGATTTTCCATTCACAGGGTATCAAGATGCCAAACCTGATATCATCTTCAAGTTGGAACAAGGAGAAGAACTGTGGATGATGCAGACCCAAATCCCAAGTCAAGGCCAACCAGGTGGGTGATGAGGATATTTAGATCTTTTCCTCCTTATTCAGAATTGATGTGAATTCTCACATGACATATACCTCATGTTTGTACTTTTTGTCTCATTCATAACCAGTCTGTTTTAGTTCATTTCTTTCTCTCAGCATTCTCCGTTTCCTTCATGCTTTCCCAGGAGATTAGATTCATTTTGTTATGCAGTTAAACAGGCTTTTTCTCTTTATCTCTTAATATGATGTTCATTCCCCCTTCTACTTTTTTTTTTTTTTAATTATATTTTTAAATCTCTTACACTTAGAGTTAATCATAATCACAGCCTCCTTCCTTCCTGATATCTATTAGGAGAAGTCATTACTGTTCCTTCTAAGCACATTCTGGCACCTGTGTATATTAGTTATTCTCTATTGAGTCCTCCCCTCCCCTTTCCTCATGTGACACCATATTGAACCCACTCACACACTGTACGACTAAGTGCTTTTAGCACTTCTGCATAAAGCTTTACTTTTTTCACTTTTTAGCTTTTAGCACAAAGCTTTACTGACTTTTCTTGTTCTTCCCTCTGAGTCCAAAGGGACTTTTCATACCCTCTACTTTTCTTATATATAGTAACGTTTAAAAGACATCTGTTCTGAAGATTTAAGCTGTGTTTCCCTTTTGGTAATTGACACTCCATCCCTCCTCAGCCTTTGGTACAGAGTTTGATTGGTCTTTTGAGCATCTTTCCTGTGTGTGCCACTCCTTTGTCTCATTTTCAGGAACTGGAACTGTTTATTGCATTGCTCCATAGCTACATCATACTTTCTTCTTGCATTCCGTTTATTCATTCTGCTCTGCTTCTAGCTCTTTCTCCTGGCCCTGGGAAGTCAGCTTAAATCTCCTTCATATGCAGTTCTCTTCACTAATGTTGCTGAAATCTGTTAATATGTTGGTTCCCTAAAAAGAAGTCTTTTAGCTAAAGCCCCCATTTTCCCAGTCCCTACCAAAAATAAAATTTTGATTTCATTTCTTGATTGTTCTATTTATTCCCCAAATGTGCTTGTCTTTTGTATTAGTTCATCTTGATGTTACTGTCAGATACATTTCCCTAATGTGTTCCATCTGTCATGGGCATAACAGAATGAATCTCATTAGTCTTTAGGATTGTATCAACTGTAATTTCTGATTAATCCTAAATCAATATACTAAACAGAAGTTATTTATTACCACACATCACCGAAAGTCCTGACGAGGGGCAGTTGTAGGGTTGACTAAACCATCGATTCAGCAAATCACCATAGGTGCCTCTCCACATGGCCATTCCAAGTCTGTCAACATTTCCCTCCGGTTCACTCCCTCATAGTCATCAGATGGCTTCTACAGTTCCAGCCAATACCTGCAGATACACCACTGGCCAGTAGAACAAGAAAACTGCTTTTTTCACGTGATTCTTTTTATCAGGTGGTAGAGCCTATTGCAGAAAGTCTCAGCTTAGTGGGCTAGGTTTTCATCACATCATGCTTACTGGGCTAGGTTTTCATCACATACCCCTGTCTGAGTAAGACTCTGTCAGGGGAAGTAGGGCCACCACTGTTGTCTCAGATGATGCTTTACTTTCTGGGATAGAGGTAGCAGTGGAGATTGGTCCCCATTTCCGTGACTGAGGCACATGGCCTTAAGGAGGGGCTTGGGGAAAAAATATCAGTTTTCTGCCAGCCAGGAAAAAGGAAGAAGGGTTGTTTGGTTGGCAGCACTGTCTACCTTCCTCCACCTCTTTGGCTAGGCAGCTTCTAGTCATCCTCTTCTAATCCAACCATCCCTGCTTTTCTTGTCCTGTATTAATGAAGTCTTGGATCCTCATTCTCAGTGGTAGTTCTTTATGGTCTGGTAACCTGCAGTTAAAGATAAGTTATTCACACCCAACCAGCCAGACAAGTACAGAGTGGTGGAGAGAAGTGCAGGGCAGGTACAATGGGAATCCCCATTCTGAAGAGCAGGCACAGTGAGTGCCACATAGAAGTCACTGGTTTGCAGTGCATTGATGCCCTGGCTGGGCAGGTTGTGCTGGGACTTCCTGCTGTGGCAGTGGCCTAATGAGCCCTTGGTTCCACTCTCTGAGCATGATTATGATTCCCTTTTCCATTGTCTTTGTGGCTACACCCAAGTATGTTTGGGAGAATGCTGTTCTGTAGCTTCAGAAATCTGAATTCTGTCCATGCAAGTGAAGTTTCCAGCTATTACTTTTGAACCACCGTAATCATCTTCAATCATGTTTAAGTAATATTTAAGCTTAGGAAATTCCGTCTTCTATTCATTGGCTTTGGTATTGTTTTGATTTCTGGAATTCTTTGAAATTTCCCTTGAGACCAACCATAGTATCCCTTCCTGCCATTATTGTTCCAAAGAGAATGCTTAACAGAAAATGTATTATGTTTCTTGGGAACTCCAATGAAGGAAGTCAGAACTGTGGCTAACCAGGGGAACTGAGGATGGGTTATGATCATAGCTACAGCAGGGTTACAGGGTAGAGTATTAAGACAGATTTAGTTTCTATGAACTCTGAAAGTCTACAGGGTTAAGACTGTTAGCCAAACACATGAGCAAATCTGATTCCTGGACAAAGATTTATTAGTCACTGGCCTGTTTTCTTCTTGATAGGAACTTTTCTGAGTTTAGAACCATGGAATAGCCAGTAATACTCTCTCCCAAGCCATCGTGATAGAACCTTCACTTCTCAGTGCAAGGAGGAGGTAATGCCCCCACTTGGGAATTGATGCTTGAGAAAATACAATATGGAGACTATTTACAAAATGAAGAGGGATCAGATTTAAGAGGTAGGGAACCCTGGAATGACATATTAAGGTCCTCTGATCTGCTGTCTCCAAGCCTGACTTGCTGCCATGTTCTTTTAATGCTCTTTTCTCTTTGTGGCCTTGGTCAGCATATTACTTTAGGACATCTAGATCAGGTCCATCCATTCTCTACCAGTCAGCCTCCAGATACTTGTCATTGTGCCTGAGGACTGAATCCTAGGTTCCCTCTCCATTTTGTATTTTTGGCTATTGGGTTTTGTTGTCAGCAGCATTTAGTTCACCCTGCCTCCTCAGTGTTATATTCCCCCTGGTAAGATCACTTTCATCCCTTTTAGGTCTTTTCATGGTATTTGCTTCCTTATTTCTAAATAACCAGCTTATTCTAGTGCTGATTTTCCCCCAGTGGTGATGATTCAGTATAACAGCATGATGATTCAATTCTCTTTCATGCCCCTTCTCTCATACTTTCAATGATATATGCACTGTCTCTTCTTATAAAGTTAGTTCGTTCGGGTTAGATCAGTCTCCGGTTTTTACATCTTTATGACTATGTAATTTCTAGTCACAGGTGAATCAAGCAAATATGCAATGGCTAATTTTTGTTCATAAATCATTTTATTCGGGGATCCTTAGGTGGCTCATCAGTTTAGCTCCTGCCTTTGGCCCAGGGCATGATCCTGGAGTCCTGGGATCTAGTCTCACATCTGGTTCCCTGCATGGAGCCTGCTTCTCCCCCTACCCGTGTCTCTCTGCCTCTCTCTCTCTCTCTCTTTCTCTCTCTCTCTCTCTCTGTCTCTCATGAATGAATGAGTAAAATCTTAAAAAAAAAAAATCATTTTTTTTCTTTTGAGTTGTTTGCCTGCCCAGTTTTCTCTGTTCTTATCATTAGTGTGTATTTATCATTAACCCCAGACTTTTCTTCACATATTTAAGTATTCCTGTGCTTCATTCAGCCATGTTAGTCATTCTGTCTATTCCTGATTATGCCACTCCCTTGTCCTTGGAAGTGCTCTAGTGTGACCCTAGTTTACCTCATACCCTGGCTGTACTACAGTGTTTTATCCTGGAGTCTCCTTTCAGATTTTATTTTCCATATTTATTTTGTGTCATCTTTTTTCTTGGTTTGTTTTGTTGAAGCACCTCTTCAAGTTACTTCCTGTGAAAGAGTGAACGAAGTATAACATTTAAGACTTGTGTCTCTGAAAATGTGTATACTTCTGAGTGTTCTTTTTTATCATCTAATGATGCTAATGTGAAATCAGATGCCATTCTGACTTCAGATTCATTATACAAAACAATTTTACTGTTTTCTCTGGAAGAGAAACTACCTGCTGCTTATCCTCAGTGTTCTGAAACATCACATTGACTTTTCTTGTGACTTTATTTTCATGTATTTGGGCATGCAGTAGAACTTTCTTCCCAAGAGGACTGTAATTTGCAGTGTTTTCTGAGTTTCTTCTGAGTTGAGCACAGTGTTTAGCATGTAACAGGTATTTGACAATTATTTGTTAAAAAAATACAATGCTGAGATCTCTTCCAACTGCTTTATATTTTTCTTATTTTTATTTGTGCCTGTTTTGCTTTCTTTACCCCTTATGCAGCATTTTAAAACTTAAACCATCTCTATTCATTTTTAGTTTTCTATGCCAATCTTCATTTTTAGTTTTGTTTCTTCTCTCTGGCCAGGAGTTTTGGTACATTTATACTTGAGATTTTATTTATATTAAAAGCTAATGTATGAAACTAAAAATATACCCTCTCTTGACATAGTATTTTTAAGGTAATTTTATGCTATGCCAGGATCATGTTATTATTTTTAATATAACTATTTTCATTGATAGGAAAAGCCTGGGAAATTGATGATCATGTGGAATGGCATCAGGAAAATCAAGATAAGCTGGAAAATATGGCAAAAGGCTACGAATGTACATTTGGGAAAGTATGTCTTCTTAGTACAAATTATGTTTCTTCAGGAGAAAAACTTCATAAGTATGTCACACCTGGAACGAGATTTAAATATAATACAGATTTCAATAGTGATTATGCTGGAAAGAATCCTAATGAGTTTCATGCACATAGGGAATCATTCCACCATCCTGAACACGAGCAAACTGTTATTGGAATAAAATACTGTGAAAGTAATGAATGTGGAAAAACCATCAACAAGAAGTCACAACTCATATGCCAGCAGACGTGTATAGGAGGAAAACCTTTTGAATGCAGTTTTTGTGGGAAGACCTTCAGCAGTAAGTCGTACCTTGCAATGCATCAGCAAATTCATCTAGAAGAGAAACCTTACAAATGTAAGGGATGTGGGAAAGACTTCAGTAGTAAGTCCTACCTCACTGTCCATCAGAGGACTCACACAGGAGAGAAATTCCATCAATGTAGTGAATGTGGGAAATCCTTCAGCTTCCATTCACAACTTGTCATACATCAGAGAATCCACACAGGTGAGAATCCCTATGAATGCTGCAAATGCAGAAAAGTATTCAGTAGGAAAGACCAGCTTGTTTCACACCAGAGAACTCATTCAGGACAGAAACCTTATGGTTGTAATGAATGTGGTAAGGATTTTGGTTTGAAGTCACAGCTTGTTATACATCAAAGAATTCATACAGGAGAGAAACCCTTTGAATGTAGTGAATGTCAGAAAGCCTTTAATACAAAGTCAAACCTTATGGTACATCAGAGAACCCATACAGGGGAGAAGCCCTATGGTTGTAGTGAATGTGGAAAAGCCTTCACTTTCAAGTCACAGCTCATTGTGCATCAGGGGGTTCACACAGGAGTAAAGCCCTATGGGTGCATTCAGTGTGGGAAAGCCTTCAGTTTGAAATCTCAGCTTATTGTGCATCAGAGAAGTCACACAGGAATGAAACCTTACGTATGCAGTGAATGTGGCAAAGCCTTCAGAAGCAAGTCATACCTCGTTATACATATGAGAACTCACACAGGAGAGAAACTCCATGAATGCAGTGACTGTGGGAAAGCTTTCAGTTTCAATTCACAACTCCTTATACATCAGAGGATTCACACAGGAGAGAGTCCATATGAATGCCATGAATGTGGGAAAGCCTTCAGTCGGAAATACCAGCTCATTTCACACCAGAGAACCCATGCTGGGGAAAAGCCCTATGAATGCAGTGACTGTGGGAAAACTTTTGGTTTGAAATCACAGCTCATTATACATCAGAGAACTCATACAGGAGAAAAACCCTTTGAATGCAATGACTGTAGCAAAGCCTTTAATACAAAGTCAAACCTTATTGTACATCAGAGGACTCATACAGGGGAGAAGCCCTATGGTTGTAGTGAATGTGGAAAAGCCTTTACTTTTAAGTCACAGCTCATCGTACATCAGGGAGCACACACTGGGGTAAAACCCTATGGATGTAATCAATGTGGAAAAGCCTTTAGTTTGAAGTCACAGCTCATTGTGCATCAGAGAAGTCACACTGGAGTGAAACCCTACGGATGCAGTGAATGTGGAAAAGCCTTCAGGAGCAAGTCTTACCTCATCATACATATGAGAACTCACACAGGAGAGAAACCACATGAATGTAATGAATGCGGGAAATCCTTCAGTTTCAATTCACAACTCATTGTACATCAGAGAATTCACACAGGAGAAAATCCCTATGAATGCAGTGAATGTGGAAAAGCCTTTAATAGGAAAGATCAGCTCATTTCCCATCAGAGAACTCATGCAGGGGAAAAACCTTATGGATGTAGTGACTGTGGCAAAGCCTTTAGTAGTAAATCCTATCTCATTATACACATGAGAACTCATTCAGGAGAGAAACCATATGAATGCAACAAATGTGGGAAGGCCTTCATTTGGAAGTCATTACTCATTGTACATGAGCGAATTCATGCAGGGGAGAGCCCTTATAAATGTAGTCAGTGTGAGAAATCCTTCAGTGGAAAATTACAGCTCATTGTACATCAAAGAATGCACACAAGAGAGAAACCCTATGAATGCAGTGAATGTGAGAAAGCCTTCATTAGGAAGTCTCAGCTCATTGTACATCAGAGAACTCATTCAGGGGAGAAACCTTATGGATGCAACGAATGTGGGAAAACCTTCTCTCAGAAATCAATCCTCAGTGCACATCAGAGGACTCACACAGGAGAGAAACCCTGTAAATGCACTGAATGTGGAAAAGCCTTCTGTTGGAAGTCACAGCTCATTATGCATCAGAGAACTCATGCAGATGAAAAGCATGTTGAGTTAAATATAAGAAACTTTCTTCCCAAAATCAGTTCATAGGAAATACCCGAAGATTCATATAGAAGAGAAACTCTATAAATGAAATCATCTCATTGTACAGCAGAAAACTAATATTGAATAGAAACCTATGGATGGACAGCATGTGCAGGGGCACCCATAGAAAGCTGCTTTTTACTCATAAAAGAAACCCCAGTAAATGCACACAGGAATGTTATGAATTCAATGAATCTTGTGAAAGTTTTCAGCAGCAAGCCATACCTTTTTAAAAGTTTGTACAGGTGAGGAGCTGTATCAATGAACCAAATGTTTGAAAGTTATTTTTTTTTTACTGTGATAAAATTTGCAAAGATGAAGTTTCATAAAGCAAGTGAATCTAGAACACAGTCCTTTAAAATTCTTATTAAATAGTAGGATTTTTTAAAAACAGGATTGTAATGAGAGAAAATGGAAAGCCAACAAATGGCAGAATTATCAAAATCACACACACTTTAGATATCAGAAGCTCATACCTTGGAGAAATCATACTCTAAATGAGGGAAATTCTTCATCTAGGAAAGACAAACTTCCATTTAAAAATTACTAATATATGAATGAAGATCTATGAATATATCAGATGGGGTAACAAAACCCTCAGTAGAAAGGTTCCCTTCACTGTTATTTTGATTAATTTGGAAAATAATTTCCTTTACAAATTATTATGGGGGAAATTGTGTTCCAGATGTTCCATATTGTTAGGAAAGGGTTGGAGAAAACACTCAACTGTAATTGCTAGGCATGTTCAAAATGAAATGAAGTTGGTATTTTTTCTTTTTCTTTTTTTTTTTTTACAGTGTAAATAAATGTAATCAGGATAACGAGAAATATATCTTAAGATCTACAGGAATATTCAGATGTTGTCTTCCTTTGTCCTATGTGAGTTTTGTGTAGTTTGGCATTTTACTTGTTAATGTCACATGTGAGAGGTACGTTAGATACATGCCATCGTCCAGGGACTTGTGCTTTGTGTAGCAACATTGTTTTTAACAAATACAACTTGTTACTAGAATAATATGATTTATTAAAATTAAATTTCAATACCACAATCCCTTTCTGCTATTTCGTGCCCTTTGTAAGTGGGCATGGCAACTATCTCTTTAGGTATATACATCTGCATAGTGCATGCAGGAATCTGTTCTGCCCTCACCAGTTTGAACATCTTGATTTTCACTAAGATAATCTCTCACACTGTATGAGGTCATGATGGGATCATCATTCAAGGTGCCCTGCCAAGGACCTGGCATGATCATCAAACTAGGCTGAGATATTTATTCCAGACTTCAAATTTCTACTGGACTCCCTAAGTACCAAAAAGCAAACTCACCTTTTGTTTTCTGGTAACATTTCCTGTAATTATTAATTAGTTCCTTCTATGTAGACTACCTAGGATAGCTTTAGCTATTGCCACTTTAAAGTTCTAGTTCACTTGTCTTTTTCTTTGAATTATCTGGTATGTGTTTAAGGGATAGATTTCAGTGACGCTGCTGAAAGAAAACATACCTCATTTTATTGTGCTTTCCAAGTAATGCTTTTTTTTTTCTTTCCAATCTGAAGGCTTGTGACAACCTTGCATTGAGCAAATTTGCTTACTTTTGTTTGTGTCACATTTTAGTAATTCTGGCAATATTTCATAGTTTTTTCATTACTTATGTTGAACTGTGGTCATTGATTATGATTTTTCTGAGAGCTCAGCATGTTTTAGCAATATATATATTTTTTCTTATGATAGTCACAGAGAGAGAGAGAGAGAGAGAGGCAGAGACACAGGCAGAGGGAGAAGCAGGCTCCATGCACCGGGAGCCCGATGTGGGACTCGATCCCGGGTCTCCAGGATCACGCCCTGGGCCAAAGGCAGGCGCCAAACTGCTGCGCCACCCAGGGATCCCTGTTTTAGCAATATTTTTAATTAAGGTGTGTACCCTGCTTTTTTTTTTTTTTAGACATAATGCTTTTATACACGTACTAGACTACAGTGTAGTGTAAACATGACTTTTATATACATTGAGAAACTGAAAAAATTTCATTTGACTTGTTTTATTGCCACATTTGCTTCATTGTGGTGGTCTGGAATGAACCTGTAATATTTCCAAGGTAATACCTGAATGTACAGCTGCAGAGGCAGGGTGGTAAGAAGTCATTCTGCCTATTGCTTTCCTACAAAGTCAGTTTTCCTCACCAGTTTCCTTACGTGAAAGAACATTTACCTGGAAAGAGTTGGGACCATGGCATTCAGGATGTTGTCAGAAGAATGTGACTATTCCAAACTGCAGACATTTCTGAAACATCCTGCACTTCCTTTGTATTTCACAAGGGAATCCCATCTTTTACTCAAAGAAATGGTTCTTTGTAGGAGGTATTTAATGATTTCTGAATGTCTGGTCCGTACTTTGTTCAGCTCAATATACAAGATCCTACCAGCGGTTAGCCCCAGGGTAGTTTACAGAAGGGAAGCGAAAGCTTGCAGAGAGAAGAAATGCCAGGTATTTGCTAAAATATATACCCTAAATCTGGAAAATATGAATGTTTTTGTCATGCATGTTCTGAGAAGATTCACACATAATAAGTGAACAGCTAAGAAGAAGTCTATATTCAGTTTACTACTGCCCAGTGTCAATTAGATTTTAAAGGTTTCTGTATTGTGTGATGCAAACCCACATGCAACCTTGCCCAGGAGAAGCCAGAAATGTTGACATAATGATGATAGAAGTCAAGTTCTGTGTGAAAAGCTAATGCTAACAATCTTAAGTGAAAATTTGGAGTGCTTGGCTGGCTCAGTCTGTGGAGGGTGCAACTCTTGATCTTAAGGTTGTGAGTTCAAGCTCCACGTTGGATGTAGAGATTGCCTTAAAGAATAAAGTCTTTTAAAAAAAGAAAAGAAAATTAACCAGATAAATGAAATGTAACAGAATGACTCGATCTACAAATAGTAAACAAAAAGAAAAAGTAAAAAATTGAATGGCTTTAAGATCTGTTCTTTCTAAACCCATGCAAGCCTCAAAGCAGGAAGAAGCTCCAGAGACTTTCTGTAGTAGCTGATAATTCTTGGGAAAATTCAAGGATCAATAATCCAGCACTTTATAATTTCCCCCCAAGAATTGACATGTGAGGGATAAATTACTTGGAATTCATATTTGTGAACATAGTTTGAAATATAGTAAATGTAATTGTAGCAAAATGAATCTAATGATGTGAAAGTTGTTTTTTTTTTAATGGCATGACAATCTTAAATGCAGCAGACTACTAGTTCTGACTCCAGTGACCTTTCATTACCAACAGAATCACTGTACTTCTCATAATGACAGTGCCCAGTCCAAGAGCCACATTTCCCCATTGTCTTTGTAGGAAAGTATGATCTTACTGCTAAATTCTGAGTAATGAGATAGAGATTGCTGACAGTGTCTAAGGGAAGGTTGACAGAAGTCGACTGTGCGGATGTCTGGAAATGAAGGGGCTGTCATACCATCCCTACACCACCAAGGGGAAATGAACTGTCTTATTTAAGTCACCTTTTCTTTTTTGGTAGGAAGAGTTTGCTCTCATATGCAGCAGAATGTGACCCTATAAAAATATATTATGTTTGGGAAATTTAGTATTGGAAAATATTTTCATAAAATTAACCACACTACCAGATAAAAGACCATATGTGTGTAGATAACACATATGATGGAATTTAATACTCCTAGAATTTTTAAATACTATTCAATTAGGAATGGAAATAAAGTGCTTTAACTTTGCAAGGAGTATGTTCCAAAAACTGACAAACGCCACACTTAATGAGATATATATACACCTTTATATTGAAAAAATTACAAGGATGCTCGTCACATTTATTTACTTATGTAAGTTAGATTTGCAATCATAAAGTATAACACGCAGTGTTAATCCCATCAAGTGGCCTCCTAGTGCCCATCACCCATTTCCCACATCCCCCCACCCACCTCCCCATCCACTACACTTTGTTCATTTCCCAGAGTTAGGAGTCTCTCATGTTTTGTCACCTTTTATAATTTTTCTCAATCAGTTCCCTTCTTTCCCCTATAATACTTTTCACTATTTCTTATATTCTCTGTACGAGTGAATCCATTTGATGATTGTCCTTCTCCGATGGACTTATTCATTCAGCATGATACTCTCCAGTTCCATCCACATCGAAGCAAATGGTGTGTATTCATCCATTCTGATGGCTGAGTAATATTCCTATATATAGATAACCACATCTTCTTTATCTGTTCATCTTTCGATGGACACCAAAGCTCCATCCACAGTTTGGCTATTGTGGACATTGCTGCTATAAACATTGGGGTGCAGGTGCCTTGGTATTTCACTGCATCTGTATCTTTGGGGTAAATCCCCAGCAGTGCAATTGCTGAGTCATGGGGCAATTCTATTTTTAACTCTTTGAGGAACCTCCACACTGTTTTCCAGAGTGGCTGCACCAGTTCACATTCCCACCAACAGTGCAAGAGGGTTCCCCTTTCTCCACATCCTCTCCAACATTTGAGATGGTGTGAGATGGCATCTCATTGTGGTTTTGATTTGTATTTCCCTGATGGCAAGTGATGCGGAGCATTTTCTCATGTGCTTGTTGACCATGTCTCTGTCTTCCTCTGTGAGATCTCTGTTCATGTCTTTTGCCCATTTCTTGATTGGATTGTTTGTTTCTTTGCTGTTGAGTTTAATAAGTTCTTTATAGATCTTTGATACTAACTCTTTATCTGATGTCATTTACAAATGTCTTCTCCCATTCTGTAGGTTGTCTTTTAGTTTTGTTGACTCTTTCTTGTGCAGAAGCTTTTTATCTTGATTAAGTCCCAATAATTCAGTTTTGCTTTTGCTTCCCTTGTCTTCATAGATATATCTTGCAGGAAGTTACTGTGTCCACGTTCAAAAAGGGTGTTACCTGTGCTCTTCCCTAGGATTTTGATGGATTCTTGTCTCACATTTAGATCTTTCATCCATTTTGAGTTTACCTTTGTATGTGGTGTAAGAGAATGGTCTAGTTTCATTCTTCTGTATGTAGCTGTCCAATTTTCCCAGCACCATTTATTGAAGAGACTGTCTTTTTTTCCAGTGGATAGTCTTTCCTGCTTTGTTGAATATTAATTGACCAGAGTCTAGGGCCCATTTCTGAGTTCTCTATTCTGTTCCATTGATCTATGTGTCTGTGTTTGTGCCAGTATCACACTGTCTTAAAGATCACAGCTATGGGGATCCCTGGGTGGCGCAGTGGTTTGGCGCCTGCCTTTGGCCCAGGGCGCGATCCTGGAGACCCGGGATCGAATCCCACGTCGGGCTCCCGGTGCATGGAGCCTGCTTCTCCCTCTGCCTGTGTCTCTGCCTCTCTCTCTCTGTGTGTGTGTGTGTGTGACTATCATAAATAAATAAAAATTAAAAAAAAAAGATCACAGCTATGTAGTACAACTTGAAATCCGGCATTGCAATGCCCCCAGCATTTTTTTTTTCAATATTCCCCTGACTATTTGGGGTCTTTTCTGATTGCTGAGGAATGTTCCGTCTAACCCTACACTCAGAAGAATTTTGATCAGGAATGGATGCTGTAATTTGTCAAATTCTTTCTCTGCATCTATTGAGAGGATCATATATTTCTTGTTTTTTCTCTTGTTGATGAGATCTATCATGTTGATTGTTGATTGTTTTACGAGTGTTGAACCAACATTGCATCCTGGGGATAAATCCCACTTGGTCATAGTGAATAATCTTCTTTGGTACTGTTGGATCCTATTGGCTTTTATTTTGGTGAGAATTTTTGCATCTATGTTCATCAGGGATATTGGTCTATAATTCTCCTTTTTGGTGGGGTCTTTGTCTGGTTTTGGAATCAAGGTGATGCTGGCCTCATAAAATGATTTTGCAAGTATTCCATCCTGATCTATCCTTTGGAACAGCTTTAGTAGAATAGGTGTTGTTTCTTCCTAAATGTTTGGTAGAATTCCTCTAGGAAGCCATCTGGCCCTGGACTTTTGTGTCTTGGGAGGTTTTTGATGACTGATTAAATTTCCTCACCGGTTATTGACCTGTTCAGGTTTTCTATTTCTTCTTGTTCCAGTTTTGGTAATTTGGGGTTTTCCAGAAATGCATCCATTTCTTCTAGAGTGCCTAAATTATTGGAGTATAGCTGCTCATAATACGTTTTAAAAATAGTTTGTATTTCCTTAGTATTTTCCTTATTGGTGGTGATCTCTCCTTTTTAATTCTCATTTTATTAATTTGAGTCTTTTCTCTTTTGTTTTTAATTAGGCTGGCTAATGGTTTATCTATCTTATTAGTTCTTTCAAAGAACCAACACTTGTTGGTCTGTTCTACAGTCCTTCTGGTCTCTTTTCATTGAGTTCTACTTAAGTCTTTATTAACTCTCTTCTGCTGTGTGTAGGTTTTATTTGCTGTTCTTTCTCCAGTTCCTTTAGGTGCAAGGTTAGCTTTTGTATTTGAGTTTTTTCCAGTTTTTGGATGGATGCTTGCATTGTGATGTATTTCCCTCTCAGAACTGCTTTTGCTGTATCCCAAATATTTTGAAAGGTTGTATCTTCATTCTTATTAGTCTCCATGAATCTCTCATTCTTCTCTAATTTCCTGGTTGACCCTTTCATCGTTTAGCAGGATGCTCTATAACCTCCACATGTTTGAAATCCTTCCAAATTTCTTCTTGTGGTTGAGTTCAAGTTTCAAAGCATTATGGTCTGAAAATACACAGGGGACAATCCCAATCTTTTGGTATCAGTTAAGACCTGATTTGTGACCCAGTATATGTTATATTCTGCAGAAAGTTCCATGTGCACTTAAGAAGAATGTGTATTCAGTTGCGTTTGGATGTAAAGTTCTGTAAATATCCGTAAAATCCATCTGGTCCAGTGTATCATTTCAAGCTATTGTTTCTTTGGAGATGTTGTGCTCAGAATATCTGTCATTTACAGAAAGTGCTGTGTTGATGTCTCCCAGTATACATGTATTCTTTTTTTTTTTTAAGAAGGATGTATTTTTTAAAGATTTATTTATTTATTCATGAGAGAGAGAGGAGAGAGAGAGAGAGAGAGAGAGAGAAACACAGGCAGAGGGATAAGCAGGCTCCATGTCAGGAGCCCGATGCTGGACTCGATCGTGGGACTCCAGGATCGCGCCCTGGGCCAAAGGCAGGTGCCAAACTGCTGAGCCATCCAGGGATCCCCAGTGTATTCTTATCTAAGTATGTCTTTACTTTGGTTATTAATTGATTGATATATGTGGCAGCTCCCACATTAGGGGCATAAAAATTCATGATTGTTAGGTCCTCTTGTTGGATAGATCCTTTTTTTTTAATTTTTATTTATGACAGTCACACACACACACACACCACACACACACACAGAGAGAGAGAGAGAGAGGCAGAGACACAGGCAGAGGGAGAAGCAGGCTCCATGCACCGGGAGCCTGACGTGGGATTCGATCCCGGGTCTCCAGGATCGCGCCCTGGGCCAAAGGCAGGCACCAAACCGCTGCGCCACCCAGGGATCCCTGGATAGATCCTTTAAGCATGATATAGGGGATCCTTGGGTGGCTTACCGTTTTAGTGCCTGCCTTCAGCCTAGCACATAACCCTGGAGTCTGAGAATCAGGTCCCGCATCGGGCTCCCTGTATGGAGCCTCCTTCTGCCTATATCTCTTTCTCTGTGTCTCTCATGAATAAATAAATAAAATCTCTAAAAAAAAAGTATGATATAGTGTCCCTCTCATCTCTTACTACAGTCTTTGGAAAAAGTTTAATTTATCTGATAGGATGGCTACCCCAGCTTTCTTTTGAGGACCATTTGAATGGTAAATGGTTCTCCAACCTTAATTTTCAGGGTGTAGGTGTCCTTAGGTCTAAAATGAGTCTCTTGTAGATAGCAAATAGATGGGTCTTGCTTTTTTATCCAGTCTGAAACCCTGCACCTTTTGATGGGATCATTAAGCCCACTCACGTTCAGAGTTACTATTGAAAGATATGAATTTAGTGTCATCATAATACCTATTCAGTCCCTGTTTTTGTAGATAGTTTCTTTGGGTGTCCTCTTTCTATTACAGTCCCTCTTAATATTTCTTGCAGAGCTGGTTTGGTGGTCACATATTCTTATAGTTTCTGCCTCTCTTGGAAGCTCTTTATCTCTCCTTCTATTCTGAATGAGAGCCTTGTTGGATAGAGTAT